TACCTCAGGAGACTTAAAGGGGCTTCAGATGTGGATATAGATTTGTGAGAAAGTAAACTTTTGTTTTACTTCCTTCCCCCACCTCCACCATTCTTTGCCCTCAGATCACAAGGGTCTGAATCAATCTACATAATGAATCTAATCTTTAATCATAGATAACAGAGACTCAATTTGTTATTGCATTTCTCAGAGCTAGACATTAATTCAGAACATCTATTCTCATAAATAACTTAAAATCAAGTAAAGAATCTGGCATTTCAACTACTTATTACTTTTACTTGAATACATGTCATAGAGAATGACTACATTTACTCAGGATTTTAAAAACAAAATATGCAATATCATACCAATAAACTACCAGTAAATTGCATAAATTTACAATTGATTCTTTTTGTACACGATTACCTGATCTTTTTTTAAATACAAGTATAATGCACAGTCATGTGACCCAAGTCTGAGCAGTTCAGCAATATTCTTTTTTCACTAAAACAGTTGCAAAGCTGGTCATTCATTTCTTCATTTCTTTTTTACAGATGCACTATTCTTGGAGTCAGTTTGCACTGTGACGTTTCAAAACAATCCTAATTTTTCCAGTACTGGGCTTACAGCCCTCACTTCATACACTGTCTTAAACAAGCCATTTTAGCTACATGGGAGGGCTACTGGCTTACAAGTAGCGAGGATATACATCAACACTGACATAATACAAAGCCAGGTGTTGATTCCATAAATCGAATATTATTTTCTACCATCACAGTGTGTAAAGCAAATCTGACAAGAAATCTGCAAAGAAAGCCTGCCAGAAACACCTGTCCCTCAGGCAGGATGTCTACAAATCACCAGGCATAACTGGTTCCTTATGGGTCACTGAGTAAGTACTCAGAGCTGAACTGACTGCCAAGTACAGATATCAAGAGCCACATGGAGGCTTATTAAAATTAGAGGTGAATGTGAGGTTAATCTCAAATCCCAGAGAGAGCGCATCTGTGTATGCACGTGTTATTACACTGTAACTACTAGAAAGTGTGCTCAGTCAGAACTTTGTTTAAGGAGGAAATAATATGTCACTGCGCCAATGCATCAATAAACAGGAGACTGTGTAATATGCAGCTGACACTATTATTTTGTGATCTGTTGGCCAGAGAAACTCAGAGTATTTGATTACATTTATTCATTCTGGCCTTGGCTCTAAACAGCTTTTGACGATCACTGGATCTGATATCGCCTATAAAGCCCTAAACATAATGAAATCTTTCAGAATTGTTGAAAGATTTGAAAACTGAAAATATCAAAAAGACATTCATGGCAGAAAGGTACAATATTGCCATAAACGATTTCAGACGGTTGTTTAATGTTGATATTTATGTTTTTATAAAGCTCCATGTCACTTTATGCCTACAGTGTTAATTATCTTCTGTGCAGCAAAGTCAAAAACACAAGTATTATTTTCTTTCTCGGGATTAAAGCATCAGGACAAAGAGACCAAATGTTTCCCACAGCAATAACTGGTTTCCGTTGATGGGCATCCTCCCAAAAATACTCTCAAAGGACTTCGATGGGCCAGCTGAGAGATGAGAGGAAAGCCTGGCAGAATCCGGCACATGGTTTGAGTTAATAACTCCCTCTTTAGTGTCATAAATCACCGTGCAGCCAACTCCATTCCCCTGGGATGCGAGCATTAAATAATCACAAAAAGGAGAACAAGGAAGGAACGGGTGGGTCTGAAGTTATGGAGCATTTGTTCTACTGCATCTATAAAGTCAACTACTCTATTTGGCAGGATCTGCATCAGTGCAAAACTCAGATTGTCTCAGCCTCCTGGCATCATCGGCAGGCGGGCTGCTGAGCATCTGCGCTGAAACATCTCTTATGTCCAAATCTTTTATGTTCGACTTCAGGTCTGCGAGTGGCACATCAAGCATGAACAGCTTGATGCCAAAAGTGAAGTAACCTTCTGGAAAACCTAAGACATTAGGTTAACGGTGACTGGCAGCACAAGATTAAAGCATGTCCTGTTTCTTTTCTTAACCCTTAGTCAACACAAAGACAATTGCACAGTGTGTGCTAAATGTCTGGACACCACCAAGCTCAAGATAAATATGCTCACCTATGTTATCCTTTAAAGCTATTACTATAAAGCTTTTTATGATGAACAGCTAAAGTGTCCTCACTGACTGCTAGCACAGACTGTTTAATTTGCTATGACCGATCCACAGGCAATAGTAGGAAAAACGCTTAGTCCAGTTCTTTATGGCTCTGAAAGTACAATTTGATCAGCTAACAGTATTTCCTCTTACCTGTCTCGGCTCTTTTGTATTGCAGGGCTCCATCTGACCTTCGACCCCGCTGTGAAAGCAGAAATTGCCAGCAAAGGTCCTGCTGCCGGATCAGCGGCTCTATTAACTCCCATCTCTGCAAAACACAGAAAATGTATGACTGCTATCATCTGAAGGAAGAATGTGAAATAGACCGGTGGTTCTTAAACTGTGGGGGTGGGCCCACCGATACAGAGTGGTGCCACTACAGGAATGTTGTGGTGACCATGTTAAAAATATGGAGTTAAATTTAAATGTAGTCTTTAATAATGCACTTTTACTAAACTGGTAAAATGACACCTGTGCATCAGGCACTTTGCTTCAGTGGGTTATGGATTTCCACTAATACGAATAAGAAATCCAATTTTATGCCCAACTTGTTTATAAAGATGCAGTTCTGGGACAGATTTAATTTAATGGACCATAAGTGCAAATTCTGCACACTCAAAAAACTCAAGCACACCTTTTAGTTTATTGAATATTTAAAGGAAGGATCTCTTGCATACTTCAAACAATATGTACCAGTGTTTTTTAAGAGCAAGTCAGGCCACATATGGATAATTTAGCAAGCATTACACACACACACACACACACACACACACACACACACACACACACACACACACACACACACACACACACACACACACACATATAATATCTACAATTCACTGTTTACAAATTGGGCTGGTGAACAGCAGCATAGAATTAAAAAGAGTTGCATTTTGCTGAGACAGCTTTAATAGAACTCAATTAGAACCAAAAATGAGAGTGTGCAGGACAGAGTCTGATGTATTTCTAACAATAACTGTGAGCCACAATAAATCGCCCTCTAGTGGCAAAGTCCTGACCTGCGACTGTGGCCTGTTGGCTCCGAGGCCCCTACACTCTGCCAGCCCGAGGCCGTCGGTCCCACGGGTCTCCAGACACAAACCGCCCTGTTTCAACACACTGGACACTGCTTCCTGCTCAGGACCCTGTAGGGAGCCAAGAGAAGAGACAGGCGCAAAGCCAGTGAAAGGTCTTATTTCAACAATAAAGAACAGATGGATTAAACTGAGTAACTGAATTGCAACGCTAAGTAATGTGCATCATTTCAACATTTCTGAAAACGATATACAGTTACACTCTGAGAGACCAGACTTATTTGGAGCAGATACAGCTGAAGTGGCGAGGGAGTAGCTTGAGAAAAAAAGCTCGTGAGATACAAGCTGATAACCCACTCAGAGGTTCCCACCCAGATCGTTTATATTTAGATGACTGGCTCTGAACTTCGGGGTAATGGCACCTCGAGGGGTTTTGAGATTACTTCAGGGGGGAAAAAAACACGTTTTATCTTAAAGGAAACAGAGCTTGAATGTTATTTCTGCTTCACCAGAGCCTCTTCCAGAGATCAATCAGAAATAAACATAGGTGAAAACATGATGAAAACATTTCCATTGTTGGATTCTAATGGTGTTTGGAAAGTCTTTGTCTCTCTTGCATAACAGATAATTCAAACCAGATACTAAAAAGTGATCCACAACAACTTCTATAATGCACTGCATAAATAATGTATATCTCCACTGAAAATGGATGTTCCCCGTGGAGAGTCTGACACTATGACTCAGTTTTCATATCCATCTGCTGATGGAAAAAGTTTTTTCTATGATAGTCTTTGACCTCACACATGAGGAAAAAGAATACTAGTTTTCACACTAGATATTTTCCAGTCATTGCCAATCGAATCTGAACTTTATAAGTGCAGAAAATGCAGAAAGTATCGTGCCAGTTAATCTTTTAATATCGACTCCTTTAAGTGTAAGTACAGTAATTAATGAAGCTTATGCATATGTTCAATAAGGGACATCTGCAATCACTCAGCTGTCTGCTTCCTAAGTGTTTGGCTCCTAGTCTATTCTTTACATCACTTCAATTTCTCCACACTGTCAAACTCAATACTAACATGATTATTCATTTTACATCATGGGCCAAGTACAACCTTCTTTGATGTTAAATAGACTGGACCAAAGAAACTCCCCTTTCTGTCAACCTAACTATACCTTAACTAATCATTGTGAAAAAAATAAATTTCTATTGTAGGTAGTAAAAAAAACAAGGATTCTTCTGTCATCAAATAGTTTATTTATTACTTCATTACTTTGGTGTAGTATAAATAACCACAGGGGAGGTTTTTATTATTAGGAAAAGTTGTAAAAGTACAAAGTTTATGACTTCCACTGGGTGGGATTGAAGTCTTGTGTTTGACACTCCTGCTCTTGTCCAATCATTTTCTTACCTGCTTCCTGTGAGCCAATCAACTTCCATTCTATATACTTTAAATCTCTTTTGTCATTCTGTCTTTCAGGCTCTCGTTTGTGCAACCTGTCTTCTTCCCATCTCTGCCTCACCCGGGTCACTCAGAGCCCCGTCGAAGCCTCCATCTTCATGCTCACCACCACTAGAGTATACTAGACTCCGGGGCTCCTGTCCTAATTCCTGTCACTGATAGGATTCCATTCTGCCTTGATGGATCATCGGCATCTAATTACCAAACAGCTAAACTGAATTCTGTGTCTCAGTAAATTGTGTTCAGTTTTTCCAAATGATTCCTCCTTACTGAAATATTTTTCTGTATGTGATAAAAAAATGTTGCAAATTGCACTTTAATTTTTTGTGTTCCAATGCTGTGCCATTGAGGGAGAATTAAACGTTAACCTCGTTACCTCAGCTCGGGATAGACGTTCTCCATGTACCAGCGGAAAGGTTTGCAGTTCAGCTTCCGTCGCAGCGCCAGACGGTCTGTGATACTGCAAGACCAGATAACAAGAATATTTAGGGACAAAGAGAAATAATGTAAAGAAAACATAAAAAAGATAAGGAGGAGAGAATGAGAAAGAAAATGTGGATTTAACCTTGTGAACCTGCCATCAACAGCTTATGGAGTATGAATTACAGACTCAGCTAACACAGGTTTTCTTTAAAATGTTAAACCAGTGTGTGTGGGTGTTTTATTTACTGAGTTTTGTTTTTTTGCTTCTTACTTCTTATATTTTTGCATTTTTACTGGTGTTGGGCCTTTTATACAAAAGGAACAGAACTTGTAGGTCCAACAGATCTGACACTGACAACAGTGTTGAAACTTCATTGTTCTGGTTTCATCTATCAAATGTAAGGGTTTGTTGTCTTAACTGGGCCACCTTGGATTGAGTAACATCATCACAGGCATTTTAAAATTATTTTAACAGAACATACAAATCCCCTGAATAATCTGTAATTAAAATAAATAAATGTTAGTTGAAGTCTCAGTGCATGCAAATTTAAAAATTGGTGTGCAAAGCGTTTTTTTAATACTTGCGTATAAAACTTGGTACCTTATAAACACCTTGGAAACTCAGGAGACACAGAATCATTGTATTAAATATAAGCAAATATGAGCAAGGAGGATGACATTATAGCAGACAAACCTGCCGAAGGCTTTTCCCTGAGCCGACGGCCTCGCAGAGTAGTAGTACTGTTTATACTCATCCATCCACACTTCAGCGGCCCGACGGGTGTTCCTGCGTGGACAGAGACACAACACCTGCTCAGACACAGTAATGACAGCGCTGCCAGCATTCCTGCAGCCAGCTTTAATGACAGCGCTATGCTTCTGGAGTCTTCATACGTCAGCTATTTACTGCAGCTCCTCTACAAATATTATTATTAAGAACAATGATGTAAAATAAGGAGCTCTGCGGATGCTTTCATAGTTCTCTTACACACTCATCTCTCACTCACGCTTGGGTCAAGATGTGTGAAAAGTGTGAGTTTGCCTGGCGAAGCATTTAACTTCACACTGAGTGGAGCTGAATCATGTGACATTTGAGATTTTAGGGCGAACAACAAGCGAAAGGTCATTCTGTTGTTTCCGTGTTAATAACTGTCATCAGTTAGACCAGCCTACTCACTTAATGTAGGTAAGAGCGTTGCCCTCTGGGAAATCGTACGGGTGCCGTTTCCTGAACACGTGACCCACGCGGCTGCAGGGAAGAATCTCCAGACTTCCTCCGCACAGCCACACCCGGAAAGAAAGCTCTGCAAAAGGAAAGATGCAGTGGTTGAGTCCAAAAATGCAGGCGTACCACTGAAGACGTGCCTGTCATTTTGTCAGTCTCTCCTAGAATTAATGCCCTGATGTGTGTCATTCCAATATCAGTGCAGTACGCCTGCTACTGTTTCCTGTAGCAGATGGCTGTTAGCTGTAAATCATCAGAATGAAAGCAGTCATAGTGGATCATTCAAATTCCAGGGACATATTTAGCATTTTGGAGATGATTCAAAAGAGCCAGGCATGCAGACTTAACACATGAAATCGTTTTATGGGAAACGGCTTCGTATTTTACAAAATAAATTGCACTAAATTGACACAAACATTATCTTCTTTAATATGTGATTAAATTATTTTTGTTAGAAAACCTTGTAAACATAGGACTTAGTATTTATTTTAGACTGAATGAGAAAATTATTCATAAACATTATGGCTTTTATTTTGGTAAGTACATGTGCTAACTCTGATCCTCCTACTTTCCTGCTCCTGGCCAACATTAGGTAATTGTAAATGTCATCAATTAACATAAACTTGTTAGGAATCCTTCATCTTGAATAAAGTTGGGAATATTTACATTGTTGGAGTCTGGTAAGTCTTTGCCAGCAGAGTAAGGCTTAGTTTTATTTAAAGACATTTGGTGTGGGATGCGTGTGGAGGATGATATGATAATAAAAGTCATCTGATTCAAGTAGGGTTAGAAATCATCGATGATCTCACCAAAGTTCTCCCCTCCCCAGATGTCCATGTGGGTGTCATACTGGCCGAGGTGGTTGAACCAACTCCTGTCCATGACGAAGATCCCACCAGCGATGACGGGAGTCCTGCAGAGTGGAGGAAGGGAAGGAGTTACAAATCTTCACTTGCACGCTTATTCATGCAGACCTCATCAGAATCACCAGAAGGGAATATTTTCCAGAAAGAAACAACAAATCAAAGGAGCTTAAAGTTGTATTTTGCTCAGCAGATGTTATGCATTAACTACTTTGCTGCGATTTGGACGTGTTTTAGGGGGAAAACACACCACAAAAGGACTGCAAATACCAACATAGAAAGGACCTGACTATGACGATTTATCTTGAACTTTTTGAGAGTAAGCTATGGCTCTCTATTTTAACTTTAGTCTAATCCAAGAACCAAAACTGACATATTAATCCATGATGTGTCATTCACATACAATATACAGTCTCTGGCCATTTTATTAGTCACATCTTGCTGGTACTGGGGTTGGATTCTATTTATCCCTCAGAGCTGCCTTAATTTTCTTATGGCACAGATACAATAAGGTGCTGGAAACATTCCTCAGAGATTCTGGTCGATGTTGAAATGACAGCATTGCACAGTTGCGGCACATTTGCCATCATGTGACTCTCCTTTTCCACCACAGGCGGCTATTTGAGTACAGTGTCATCTTCAAGAAACCAGTCTGAGATGATTTGAGCTTTGTGACTTTGGGTTCATCTATCATGCTTAAAGTCACTGAAATCACTTTTCCTCCCCATTCTGATGCTTGGTTTGAACTTCAGGGGGTCATCTTGACCATCTAAGTCTCTAAACGCATGGAGTTGCTTTCATATTGGTGGATTGGTGGCATTAATGAGTAGTTGAACACATATGTCTATGATATCTAATGAAGTGGTCTGTGAGGGTACAATGCACGTATAATGCATAAGAGAATGTTCCAGGTATGAGTCAAAGCATATTATCACACTAAATATCATTGTAGACATACCTTATTGCCTGAGTGGGGTCACTTCTTGCCATCTTTTGCTCAATGGGAATCTGCTCCCACTTGAAGTGGAGACTCCAGTCAAATCCTGACAAAAAGAAAAGCATGGGGGAAGCAAAAGTTCAGCTCTCATCTTCAAATTTATATTCCTGTTGTCTAGACATGAGTCCAAAGCAGACAAGATGACAGATATTCTGGCTGGACTCAGTTGCATGATTTCACCTAATATACTGGCCTGAATTTAATATCAATCGTAGCCTTACATCTGTGGAAAAACTCTCTTCTATAAATCACTGCTTTTCAATAAAACAATGAAATATTTAAACCTCAGTCATTGTTCAGTCATAGGCATTGAATTCTGTCAGGAATCATGATGTCATGTCACAAAGGTTTGTTAAACCTGCAGATCTCTGTGTGATCAACTACCACTGTGTATGATCTGTTTATTACGCCCTGACCTCCTCTCAGGTCAGCAGAGGCAGCCAAGTAGGCAAAGTTATCCAGGCTGATGACGTCGATGATGGGGCTGACCACTCTTGTATGATCCTGCATGGGAGGAGAACACAATGACATGTTATTTTAAATTAATTCTATTATTAAATTTTTAAATACTATTTGTTTAATTTATTTCAACAAATAGGGATGGATTTAAGTTTTAAAAAATACTTGAAAAAACACTGACTTTCAGTTGAAGAATAAAACATATTTAAACCTTTGCTTTTCTAACTTCAGGTTTTTCTTTATAATTTCCAGCCTCTGATCACATAAAAATAAGAATAATGCTAAGAAACAAATTAAATAGAGCAAGAACATTTCATAAAATTGTATCCTTATTAGTAGAAAGAAGCTATTTGTTTTAATCGAATAATTTTTCTGTAAGAACTGTGTACGGTACTCTAAACTTGCATGTAAGCTCTGATTATTCTTTTGATGTGAATAATAACAAGCACGTACTGATTACTTTTGAAGAACATAAGCTGAGTATCCCTAACCTTCCCATTAGGTTGGATTCTATTTATCCCTCAGAGCTGCCTTAATTTTCTTATGGCACAGATACAATAAGGTGCTGGAAACATTCCTCAGAGATTCTGGTCGATGTTGAAATGACAGTCAAATCTGACCGTCAGCTGCAGATCCAACACAAACTCTAAAAGACAGAACTGCTGATTGGTTTGTGCGTACTCGAGCGTGTATGTGCTGCCTGCATCTGTCTGTGAATGGGTGCCAGTGTCCATGTAGACAAACAGCTTATAGCTCGGGACAATCCAAATGAGTGTTTCCAATTAGAACCGTCCATCTCTTTATCAGAGATTGAACCCGCTGTGAACTCTGTGCTTGTTGCGCCGAAGAGTGCGGGGGAAGAACGAGTGTGAAAAGCCACTCTGCCAGAGAGCAATTTAAAAAGTGATGCTCTCAACAGTTTTAAGCAATGGACATTTATTGGGCTTTCAATGAGTCTCTGTGATTTGGTAATGCATAAAGTGGCTGCACTTCCAAAATCAATGTCACCTTTTTTCTGTGTTTGAATTTACGACACAGTACTCTGCCGGCAAAATAGTATTTGTTAACTGAAACAGGTGTGTGTGTTATTCTGTTAAAATGTGCTATCAACATATTAACATCATGCCAGCTGGTGCTACACAGCTATCCACCATAATTAGTGTGATAACCAGCTAGCCCTGTCCTGTCTCCTAATACCATTTTGTATTTTACAGAACCAAAATGAGACACAATAATACAAAAATGTGTTGTCAGTCCAAACATTTCTTTCATAGTCTATGATTCTGATCTCTGTCAATCATATTGAGGAACGGACAGGCGACGAATTCACAATACGCTCTTGCCATTTGATATGTCAGGATCTCTGTTTCTTCACTTTATCACCCAGGAATGCTATCAGTCTATGGCTACGTTCACACTGCAGGTCTTAATGCTCAGTTCCAATTTTTTTGATCAAATCTGATTTTTTGATCAAATCCGATTTTTTTGTCGGCTTGTTCACATCAGATATGTATCGGACTCAGTACCACATACGAAAATGATCCAGATCGGATTTGAAAATATCAGATTTGTGCCGTTTACACTGACATACCATGATCGGATATGGGTCGCATAGGGTCAGAAAAGTTGGATTTGATGCGCTTTCGCCTGCAGTGTGAACGTAGCCTTTGAGTAATGAAACTCAGACAATTCATGCTGCGGTAAAACATGTTTTAACCCCCCATATATATTAGACTTTTCCTTCAGAGCATTACAATTATTCTTTATGATTTAATAATTTAGTTAAAGAAACTGTGCCAGTGAAGATGAAAACAAGCAAGGTAAAGTGACCACATAAGATTAGCCAGACAATTATTTGAATCATGTTCCCTTTACATTTGTCAGTGAGAAGCTCATTGCTGCACATTAGCAACATTTGAATTACGCTGTTACGCCTGCTGGTTTTAATTAACAAAGGAAAAGCATAATTAAGTTAAAACAGAGAAGATTATTATTCATCATTATTTCTGCCCCCCAGAGGCTTTAATAAAACCAGGGTTTGGTCTCTGGGACACGAACAAATGCAAGGCGGAGTGCAGTTGAACTCTGGGGCTGGTAAATTATCACTGAGGCCGGCACTCTCATGAGCTAAAAGATTGTAATGCAAGCTGGATGAGTCACAGCTGTCCAAAGCCAAAGAAACACAAACAAGTTTTGCGCACACCCACAATGTGTCGAGTCTTGTGATTATAAACTGTGAGGTTTGCACTGAAGAAACATGATATGTGGCTTGACTATATAGCTTGTAGCTTCATTTGTCCTGCATGCAGGTTCTGAATGGGTGCTCTTTTTCTGCTGTACTTTCTAAACAAACAGAAGACTTTTGTCCTTCAGCAAAATAAAGCCCTATTTTATTTCTTGCAGATAAACACTTAGTCTTCTTTTCAAGGAAGGCCAAGGGGACAGGGATGCATCTATGGATATCAGTCTTTTTGTGAGATATACTACTTTTCTTGCCAAGAATTAAATTTGAAGACTGTTAGAGTACTCATGTCTATGCGTTTAATATCAGAGTAGAGTCAGGAGATTCTAACCTCAGCTTAGCATGAAGGTTAAAGAAAAAAAGCTGGAAAAACTATTCAAATCCCAAAGAGAACATCTTAAGCACATCTTTGAGGAGAAAAAGGGTCAAACATGTAATCTACATGGATTTTATCCCTAGCTAGATGTTTTTTAGTCTTCATGTTTTAGCTTTTCCACTGAACTCTTGGCAAGAAATTAGTCAGTCCTTTATCGGGGAAATGAGCACATATGGTGGACATCAGAATTGTCCTCCCTGTGTCTCTCTGTGCCCTAATTTAATCTGATTAATAAACAGTAGCCCAGAGTTTTTCAAACTTGAGGAACTCCTCGATTGTGGTCATAACGAACAATGGTAGGTTGTTGAAACTCACGCATTACAGTATATAGTGGAAGAACTCTCCTAAAGGCTGAAATTTTGCTTTTTGATTTTGCATAGGATCCAGATGTGTGAAGTTTGCTGGTTTTTTTTGTTTTGTTTTGTTTTTTATATCCAGCTGTGTGGAATGGAGGTTTTAGATGCACCCGGATGAAGTAGATGGAACTCAAACACAAAGTGGGCATTTAATGCAGCGGCTTAGTGTCCAGAGTTCAAAATCCAAAAATCCACAAGGAGCAAAGCCAGGGGATCCAAATATCAGAAATGACCAGGAAAACAAAGTCAGGAAAAAAAGGGAATACACGGTTAAGAAACACACAGCTACATGGATGACATGACAAAAGTAGACTGAGACAACATATACACAGCTGATAATGAGGGAAGTGCAAATAGGTGGGGACTATACACATTTAATCAAGACAATGAACAGGGGAAGTAAACTAGACAAGATACAGAAGACCAAAGAGCTACCAGAGTAAAACAGGAAATAAGATGAAAAATGAACAGAGAACTAAGATTAACTTGGGGAGCGGTGAAAGACAGTCTTCAGCATAAAAGAAAGATCATACGTGTGTCCTCATTAGGATAGGGATTTGTGTTGATGTGTGCCAGTGTAGCCTATGCCTCCAACATGCAAACATTTGACCAACAACATGCAATTAATTTGCATGAATGTAATGTCTTTGATATGCTGCTTAGAGATGGTGGTGACTCTCAAAGCAGAGACAGTGAGACCCCATTGAGCATTGATAAGAAAACTGATAAGGAATTGAATTGATGGGAATTTCAATAGTGGAATCGGAATGATTAAATTCTTATCAATTCCCATCCCTAGTAGCTAGTAAAAAGAACCTAATCCAAAGAGAATCCAAAATGCAAAACTCAAATGACATAACATATACAGAGGACACAGGAGAGAAGTAATAAATATAACACAAGGATCTTTGTTATGTCCTTTGGAAGTAGGAAAGCACACCACTGAAACAAATGTTATTGTCAACCTCACAGGTATACTGTAATTAGGTGAATAAGAAAATTCACTGGGTACCAGTTGAGCTTGCTGGTTGGGCAGGAGCCCATATGCTATACAGCTGAAATACAGGAGCCTGGGTTCAGGTTTGGAACCCTTTGCTGAGTGTCGCCCTGTGCTCTTTCCCGTCTTTCCTGTCTTCTCTGTGTTGTCACATAAAGGCAAAAATACCCCAAAAAGAAAATTCGAGATGCCAGATATCTTGTATAGTAAAACAACAAGCCACAAGTTGAGAAAAGTATTGATATTTCTTCTTTTCTCAACTCTTTTCTTGTACTGTAGCCTGGAGAAGCAAGCATGCTGCTAAAATGCCAAGCAGGAAGAAAATTAAGAAACAGTGTATTGCTGACGGGGAAGAAACTGCAGGAGCTACATCACAGTGTCACACATTAGTGCGAGTCATGAACATGAGAAAGGTGATTACTAAGAGAAATGTGAAATGAAACAGCTCCTGCTGACTAGAGTCATTGGGACAGCCTGAGATTGGTGCGGGGGGGCATCAGCAGTTGTTCTCAACCATAACCAGTCACAGTCACAGGATGCTAATAATGTCAGGGCGGGGAGGAGACAGTCACAGCAGGTGATGAATTTCTTTCCGCAACTATATCAATACACTCACTTTATAGGAATTAAACATTCATCTCTGCACACGATTTTGTGCCGCTCTGTATTTCCATTCTCTGTGTACCTCACTTGTGTGACTTTGTGAGAAAAAGAAAGCAGACTGGAACAGAAACAGTGAGTGCTTACTGCTGAAATGTCCAAGAAAGCTCACATGGAAATACCACCAGTATTTTAAATAAATAAATAAATCCACCACATAATGAAGACTGGCTGGCATCGCATCATATTTTGAAGTGTAAAACACTTGCGGCCGGATGTGACAGTACTATAGTGCTCCTGATGGACGGCCTAATTATTTTTTTAAGAGGCAGTGAATCAGGAAAATCTGTCATTAACAAAGAGTGTTATTGATTTAAAGACAATGCTGTAAGAATAAATGCAATAACAGTCCACGGCACCACAGCTGCTACACAAAGCAGCCAACTCAACCAAACCACTCCCTCATTATCCCATTCAGAGTTTCCTCTATAGCGGAGACTCAGTTGTGAGACGCTAATTAGGATTTTGGTCACTCAGTAATCATCATCATCTTGTCTCATTAAAGTCAGCTCCCAAGTGTCACTGACCAATGTATTAAGCAAATAAGAAAAAATGAACCCAAATCAGGCAGAGACAACTATATATAGCACAATTTCAGTGAACTATATGAAGTGATTTCATGCAAAGGACAGAGTGGAAAACAGCCTGTGGAGGAAAAAGCCCACCAAACTTTTTCCAGCTGCGGCAGAGCAGCGTGTGACATCTGCTATAGTCTGACTTGAATCTTAGCTGAACAAATTGAGTGTTTATTTAACAACACGCAGTGCCAACATATTGCATCACAGTCAATAAAATCTACCACGGAGAAGAAAATAAATGTTCCGCCTCCAAGCATATGCATGAGGTTGTGCGTGTGGATATGTGCAGCATGCATTTAAGTGTCTGACTAAGTGTGTGTGTGAGCATGTGCGATTGTACCTCCTTGACTCTCTGTATCATAGGCTGCAGCCAGTCAGTGTTGACCTCACAGTGGCTGTCCAGAAAGGTCAAGATCGAAGCAGAGGCCGTGTTGGCTCCTCGCACGCGTGATCGGATCAGACCTGAAGGAAACACATGACACTGAAAGTCTCAAACTGCTCAGATGGACACAGTTTTATTAAACTGATGCTGTTTAATGCAAGTGTTGTTTTCAAGACTCTGATCCTTAAAAGAAATCTCTGGAAATCACATTTTCTGGTGACATCTTGGGTCACTTTTAAAAATGCTTTATATTGATCTAAGATGTCATAGTCATTTTTTTTGTCGACAATAACTATTCTTCAGTCTGTGGACAGCTATTAATCACTCTAGTAGCCGTTCTGAATGAGCTTTAGGAGAATTGATATCTGCAAAAGTCTGTATCTCTGAAACCGAGATGGTTATAATTACAAACTCCTTTGTTTCCTCCTCATGTCATCATGTTCTGGATGTTCCTTACTCACACGGTCATGACATTTACATCTAAAATAACTGTATCAAACTGATTTAAAAAATGGCTGAAAGTATTTTAATCTTTCTCATCCATTGCACATTACAAATAAGCAACACTGCACCCTGTTATTTGAAAAGACTTAAAAGACCATTTTGAGGAAATACAGTATGTTTAAAGACTTTTCTTAAGGAGAGACGACATTTTACCAAATAAAAGAGACCCTAGAATGAACATGGATGAAAAAATAGTGGTTTTGTGTAACATTCTTCTGGTTGGAACCTCTTATTCGTGAATAGACAGAAGGGATATAAATGTGATGGAAAACCTGATGTATTCCTTGAGATATAAAGTGAACTGCCCTCTTAAATGGACAAAATGAATCACCATCACTAAGATGGTGAGTCATTTCAAGGATGAGGTTGCCCTCATATCTGGATCTGCATAAATTGAACAACACAGACACAAAGTCACCCTACTTAGGTCTCGTGATTTTTTCCCCTTCTTCCTTTATTTTATATAATATCTCACACAAAATTGGAGAAATCTCTGTGTGCAAGAACTAGCTAAAAAGTCAATATTTGATGGCCATGATCTCCAGGCCCTCAGGCAGCACTGCGTTAAAACAAAAGTTGTGGTTTTGTCATAGAAATCACTGCTTAGGCTCAGGAACACTTCCAGAAATCAGCATCTGTGAACACAGTTTGTTGTTTCATCCACAAATGCAGGTATAGCTCTATGATACAAAGAAGAAGCCATAAATGAACATGATCCAGAAATGCTGCTGTCTTCTTTGGGCCAAAGCGAATTTAAAATGGACTGAGTGGAAAACTGTTCTGCAGTGCCAAACCACTTTATTTATTACAACAGCATGGCTTCATAGCAGAACTGTCTGGGCGCTGACCTGGCCTGCCTGCAGTTTTTCTAGATTGTTGCATTGTAATTGACAGTTGACAGAAAAAGCATTGGGTTCTTCTTCTTTATTAAATTGGTGCTATATGATAAAATATGATGATGATAATCACCTTCATCCATGTTTCTGGAATACATACTGTACGTTTGACTTAAGCTGGACAAGCAAGTAGAGAATAAACTGCCTCTAGAATTGACATTAGTTATTTGGATTTATCTAAAGTAGATCCCAGAACTTGTCTCACTCCCGTCAGCGACGCCGAGGGAAAAACCTACTTTAAAAGAGTTCACATTTAAGGCAGACTCGCTGGAAGCACGGGGGCACTTTTTCACCAAGTACGCCTCCAGTTACGGTAATATCTGGATATGTGGAAAAGGTTAATTGTCTTTGATATTTATGCAGCATCCATAAACAGATCGAGCTCGTTATCTTAAGAGTTTTGTCAAAGATCGTTAAAATAACACAAATTTATTAAATGCTTTTTGTTTTTAATAGAACAAGAGGTCCAGAACTTAATTCTGAGCTGATCATGAATAACCTGAGTGTTTCAAGAGGAGGTTGTTTCTCTGAATAATTCAAAGGATGATTTTCAGAATTATCACCTTTCTTTTGTAACAGAGAAGAAGAAAAACATTCACCGTCCTTATTGCTAATACAAGGATCAACTGCCTTAGTTCTTAATTAATTCTGCTGGAAACATTTCTCAGAGATATTTTGATCCTTGTTGATATGATAGCATTACACCGTTGCCGTTTGCACATACACGATGGGAATCTCCATTTCCATCACATCCTTTATATAATCTATTGAGATCTGGTGACTGTGGAGGTCATTTTTAAACTCATTTTCATTATCAAGAAACCAAGAAAGGATCTGAGCTTTGTCACATGGTGCACTTTCTTGTTGGTAGCAGGTATCAGAAGATACACTGTGATCATAAAGGTTAAGGTGGATGTGGTCAGCCATAATACTCAGGTAGGCTGTGGCATTTAAACAATAATGAGCTGAGAGTGTGCCAAGAAAATATCCCTCACTCCATCACACCTTCACTGCCAGCTTGAACCACTGATACAAGGCAGGATAGACCCATGCTTTTACGTTGATGAGTCAAATTATGACCCTATCATCCGACTGTTGCACCTGAAATTGAGACTCTTCAGACCAAGCGACATTTTTCCAGTCTTCTGTTGTCCAATTTTGGCAATCTTGTGCACATTATAGCCTCAATTTCCTGCACCAGTGTGCTCTTCTGCATAGCTTGGTTGTTACTTCCCAAAGGCTTGAAGCTTTTTTGTCACCCAGAGAACTACTGCTCACTGGTTGTTTTCTCTTTTCCTGATCATTCTCTGCATGTGGGAAAGTTCAAATAGATCAAAAGTTTCTGAAATACTCAAAAAAATCAAGTTTCTTCCTCATTCTGATGCATGACGTTTAACCGAAGCTTCTTTTGACAGAAGCTTCATGAGAATAAGCAGTGCTCAGTTTAAGGCACATCATTTACACAAACACAACCTTTGTTTTACCAATGAATGAGCTTGAATCACACCAGTTCACATTTCATCCTTCCCCAGTATAACCTAAGTGACATTTGAGAGTAGGATTGCGCGCCTGGTCAGTTAAGGCACTTCACCTCTTAGGGAGAAACAGTAATTTATCTGGTGCTGTGTTTCGGGCCACCTACCAAATGTCAGGCCAATAGATTACTCATCTGTGTGCTTTTAGTTTACACCAACACACGATGAAAAAACTGCATATTAAGCTGCTAAATGTAATGTATGTAATCTATCTAGCAATGTGAAAAATTCCTTAATTTACAGAACATGCTACATATTAGATACACACTGGCTATTCCACAGTTCTCACCCATGATAGCAAAGACTTCCTGCTCGTGCTTGTTTGGTGTAATTGTGGGTACATTTAATGCTTCAGTGCCTGATGACCTTTGGCAGCAGTTTGACGCATTAAAGCAGAGAAAGTCAATGATGCCTGAAGGTGTGAAGCCATTAAGAGCTGAAAATCAATCCAGTCACAAGGACAGGGACTATTTGCTTTTACTGTTTTCAGTAAACTCTCAGAGAGCTGTATTTTGCTGGGTCATCCTGTTTAAAAAAACTTCTTGCGTATTTCTACACGAGAAAGCCTATGAAAAAGATAGATTAAGATTAAGCTTATTATAATTTGTGGACGTGGGTTTTAAGGGTGGCAGTAAAGAAAGCTAAACTTGGGCTTGTGGACTGTTGCTGCCGGACATTAACAGCATGTGGCCCAAAAAATGTGTTCTCCTGTGAGTGCAAGAACCTGAGAAAAATGGATTATCAAACAGTAACACTACTTATTTTAGCTTTAAGTTCAGCCGAACTTCCCTGATTTGGAGCACGAATCTCATTTTGGTTCAAATTAATCTCAAATAGACCAGCACACCATTCAGTAATGGCACATAAAACAGTATCTTCAAATTAAGTGTGAAGAAATTTGCAAAAATGGGATTTCTTAAGAGAAAAAACCACTTGCATTTCCCACATTCAGTCTACTGTCATCAAAAACCAATGCTAAAATGAAACGAGTTGGTACAGTCGTTGGTTATACCAGCTTACGTGGTGGGTCACTGGAAAGGCTGTTAGTAAGAAGCTAGAAAACCTGACAATGATTCAGACCTGAGGCCTGGATAAAATGAGCCCACATCTATTTCTAACAGCGTGCAATACAAATGTTTCCTGGTTAGAAACACAGTAAAAAAAACTGTACCCTGCATTTCCACAACTTCCACGCAGTGGGCTAGACTGATCCCTTTGACAGACTAATCATTGTGTTTGACATCCTAGAGTTAGAGAATAAAAATCATTCAGGTGCCTGTGAAGGAGCGATCGAACAATAAAGTGAGTGGTTCTAATAAGTACTGCCACAGAATTTAGTCAAATGAAAGGTGTGAGAGGGCAGAAAAAAAGAGATCAAACTGTAAGGCATGCAGATAAATCCAGAAACATGGATTTACACTTACATGTGACACAATTAATAATATTAATGATATATAAGTCTATGCTTCTACAAAAATTACTATAACTGTCTATTTGCCTTAGACTCGCATATGTTGATTGTTTTATGTTTATGTAGGATCAGATTTTATGTTGATTTTTGAGTTTTGAGCTTTTGGTCAATATATTGTAGTTATGATTTCTTTTTAGGTCTTTCTAATATTTTAGTGTCTTAAGTTTTGAGTCTTATGTTTTGTCAGTTTTCTTTTTTTAACGTCATATTATTTTAACAATATTTTGCCTCAGTTTTCTTCAGTTTTGGTCTCTGTTTAGTTTTTCTGAATTTCTGAACAACTTTCAAGATGTTTTACTGTTTTCGTGTTAGTTTTTAACCTGTCTGCAGTTACCTACACTATACTGACCACCTCTAGCCGTGCATTTTGCCTCTACAAACATCTGTGAAAGAATGGATCATTCTAAATAGCACGCCAAATTCTAGTGTCGTAGGAAGCTACTTTTGTGACGAGTCAACTTGTTGAATTTCTTCCCTCGCAGATATTCCTTCATCAACTGTAAGTGATATTACTGAAAAGCAGAAGTGTTCAAGAACCACAGGAACTCAATCAGGAAGTGGCAGACCACATAAAGCTACAGAGCGGGGTCAGTGAGCTATGAAACATATAGTGCACTAAAGGCGCCCCCGTGCTGCTGACAAGGTAACTGCAGAGTTACATACCACCTCTGGCAGAGAAACAGTGCACTGGGAGCTTCAGGGTGTGGCTTCTACATGTCCAAGCAGCTCCCAGTACTCCATACAGCGTATCAGCTGTCAGTAGGTATACAGTGGATAATAAAGTATTTTTAAATGTTTATTTCTTTGGTCACACTTACATTCTTTAGATCATTAAACAAATGTTAACACTAGACTAAGATAACCTGCGTAAATACAAAATATAAAGGATTATTTAATTTATTAATGGAAACAAAATGCCCTTTATGAGAAAGTAATTGTACCCTAGACCAAATAACTGGTTCTACTCATCCTCAAGCATGTGTGATAACTGGAAATGACACTTTCACATCACTGTGGAGGACTTTTGGCCCACTCTTCTTTACATAATTGCTTTAATTTAGTCAGATTGGAGGGTTTTTGAGAATGAATGGTCTTTTTAGGTCATGCCAAATGATGTCAATTGGACTTAAGTCTGGACTGGACTTTGACTAGGCCACTTCAAAGCCTTCATTTTGTTTTTTTAAGCCATTTAGAAGTGGACTTTGGATGGTTTCCTTGGATTATAGCTCGAGCTTCCAAGCACAATCTCATAACGGGATATTTTACTTCAAACTTTCTGGATGAGTCAGCGATGCGTTTTGCTGAGAAAGTTCACCACTCTTCCATGTTTTATCCATTTGCCATGGAAATGGCTTTGTAACCCTTTCCAGACTGATAGAAGTCAATGACTTTGTTTCTCAGCTGTTTCTTTAGATCGTGGCACCATGAGTTGCTTTTTGAGGTCTTTTAGCCTCCTACACTTTGTCAGACAGGGTTTTATTTAAATGATTTTGGGATTTAATCTGGCAGTACTCAGGCCTGGCTGCGGGTACTGAAATTGGACTCATCTTTCCAAAAAATGTGGTTAATCACTGTTAATTCATGATTTAACATAGGGCCAGGTTTGCACAGCTTTTTCTTCCTCTTAATAAATAAAATCATTATTTAAAAACTATTTTTTGCATTTACTCAAGTTATCTTTGCCTACTATTATAATTTGCTTGATGCTCTGAAAAACATAAGTAAGACTAATAAGCAAAAAAACTAAGAAATCAGGAGGAGGCGAGTGTAGATCCTGTCATCATTTTTCATGCTGTCTGTGGATGTTCCTGTTTCTTCTTGTCAAGGTCATTATACTTAACTAAACCCACGGTAAAAACAAAAACCAGGAGTGAAAAACAGATTTTAGTTTAGTCAACTAAAATTTATTTTTCACTCCTAGTTTCACACACTTTCACACAACACACTAAAGTAAAATAAAAATACAGAAGAAATATCTTTAGTTTTAGGGGTTTTTTGGTAAAAAATAAATCATTGACACGTTTATTGAGACATACTATAATAATTAGAAAGACTAAAAGTAACACTGAAACTGTTAATAAAAAACAATAAAAACCAGAAACTCACTCAGTAAACAAACTGAAACTAAACAAAATTAAAAATAAATAAATCTATAATAACTCTGCTTCTTCTGTGTCCTTGCATTTATTCCCTGGCTCTTTGTGTTTATCCTTTTGGATGCTGTCAGTTTCTTGTGTATTCTTACAATTTGGCCTCATCCATCAGCAATTACAAGCCCACTTTTTCCTGTGACAATCGCTTTTTTAAGCATTTTCTGTTTTTCACTGTGTTGTCAGATGTTATTGACTAAATTATTAATTAGCTCTCATTACATAATTTTTTTTCCTTTTACATAAAATGACTGAAACAACAGCTGTTCATATCTTTTTGGTCTGTTTCTGTTTTCCACTTGATTTGTTTTTTCCACTCCAGTATTTTTGGACACACATTTTCAGTGACTATCTGCTGTCATGTGAAGCATTTTTACCATCTTCGCCTTCACTTGTCTTTCTATGAGTTATTCCTTTAAAAAAAGCCACACAAAATACATCCCCCTTTCAGTCCAATATCTTTTCCATTAAGTCATTTTCCCCCTTCCCATCGTTCCCCTTGTCCCCGCACACTCACCCTCTCTCCTGCCGTTCCTCAGGCAGCGCACTTTGGGGATCTGAGTGAGCAGCTGGCAGTCCTCAGCTGGGGGAGGAGAGCAGAGGAGATGGCATTTTATGGTGGAAGGAGAACACACACTGAGAAAAATATTTCTCCTCGCTGCCTCATCTCACACTCTGTCACTCACCCAAACCCACAAGCACACCACGCTGCCACACTTACATGGATTTAGTGCACTTAAACAGACATAAACACAGACAAACAAGGGCATGGTTACGGATACACACCCTCAATAAGCACACTACTCAGTGCTGTGATAAAAGTCACTTAATGCTGCAGTATATGAGCTAAAGACATTCAAACATCCATCGGTGCATCCATTTCACTTAGGCTATAATAATGAGAAACACGTAAACACAAAAAAGTGCACAGGTCAGAGTGTTCAAGCAAAAGAGCTCACTGCATGATTAAATTCAAAATCCTTTTTTCCATAAACAAATCCACCAGCGAGCCAACTTCCATCATCCACTCCATGTTTCTACATGAGCCATAGCTGGCACAGAGCTGCTGTTGTAGTGGACATCATTACAAACAACACACAAGCACAGGTACACACATATACACACACACTTGGGAAGATTGGCATTAGCAGCAGAGAGTGTGTGCTTGTGTCTGTGTTTGTGATCTTACTGAGGGATTGTGGAGAGATCAAGCAGACCCCCTCCCGAGCAGCGATACAACCTTATGCTGACAGAAACGAGCATGACAAGTTGTAATCCTCTGTGATTAAATTTGCTGTGTGTACAAACCTGTTTGTTTGCATGTAGACTGTAGAGTCAGAGGGTGTGTGCGCGTGCATGTGTATGGCTTTAGTGTTGCTCCTAATGGGGGGACAGCTGGTGTGTGTAGAGAAGACTCACAAGACTCGGGCAAGAACAGCAAAAAGTCATAGATCACTCCCACCGAACAGATGTTGTACACTTTTAGCCTGATTGTATAAGCTTGTATGCATGCATGTGAGTGTGTGAAAGCCTGTTTGCATCAGGGAATTTTTTTCCCCCAGACTACACACAAAAAAATGACAATTTTAAGAGTTTTGTGAGTTATCATTTTAAACTACAGTATATTATCCTGTTTTTCTGAATTAACAAGATAATCATCTCATCTGTTTCTTTCTGCTGACCCAGTTCAGGGTCACAGACAACATTCACACCTACAGCCAATACAGCCTTTATTTTAGTTAAGCTAACCCATGTATGTCTTTGGACTGTGGGAAGAAGATCGGATACCCGGGGAGAACCCACGTAAACATGGGAAGAACTCCACAAACTCAACCAGCCAGTGGATTCAAACCCAGGACTTTTAGTTTGACTGATTGTGTGAATCTGTTAAGTTTAAACTGAGCTTATCTGAGTCCTGTAAATATTAATTAATCCAGTGTATGCCTGTCTCCACACTGTTGGAGTCACATGCAGGCTTGCAGTAAAGATCACTGTCCTTGATTGAGCACCATGTCCTTGTGATTAAAGCGGGCGAGCCTTAACAGGATTACGCTCGGCCAGGACAATCCCTCCTGCTGCTGCTGGCCGACATCCTCCAACACCGTCACGTCTACTAACAAATCAGCTCACACTCTCACTGCATCGGCTGACTGTCTCTCTAAATTCCACCTGCACACTTGACACAGCAGCCCTGATTTGAATATATTCACTCATTCATCTACATTTTTTCTCGGTGAAGATATTACAACAGAGTGGGAAATAAATCCATGAAGAAAAGCAAAAACGTGCTTATTTTATCATATATGTTGGTAAACTGAACCTTTATGATCAGACAATTGCTGCTCATACAGCGGGACATGTATAATATTGAAGTGGCTGCCGTGAGAGCGTGGAAATCCATGTTTATTTAAGCCTGCAATAACTGATCTGTCACGTGGGACTTGCCAGCTGTGACCAGCTGCTATGACAGCGGTGCGAGTTCATCAAAACACAAAAGTTAACCTCTAACAATGAGCTGAAACCTGCTGTAAAACACTGTAAAGGATTCAGCTTCAGAATGACTATTAGGTAATACATACACTGCAACAATCCCCAGAGTAAAAATGTTGGGTCTAAGTGGTGAGAGATTCTAACTGTACAGAAACTACAGGAAAAAATCTCCTTTACTATCTCACAGAAGTAAAACAAATAAAACTAACAATATTTGAGGAACAAAGCATGCTGTGGACCTTCCTGTTTCAAAACTGTAGCAGCTGTTGTGTTAATTGTCTGAAACTGGTAACAATGGCACCCATTAGAGTGCAGCAACTGGAGAAGTCAGCTAATTGGAGGCTCACTGGTTCACAGTCAGACTGAGTCGAAACTAAAAGTCAGAAACTAGAACCAAAGTGTGTTTGAGACTGGTTCACATGATAATTAATACTGGGAATTAAAATCCAAAACAGGGAAGAGATTAAGAGTGTAGCTTAAGAACCCTTTGTTCACTGTGAACCCTGCTGGTACAGCCAAGGTGCAGGTAGACTGGCAGCAGGAGACGAGGGATAAATGAGGCATTAGTGGGCTACAGAGCTCCCGCTGCTCCTGCCACTGAGACACTACTGTTTAGATGTCTGGCCAGCTTTGACACCTCCGAGTACGAATGCACGTGTGAGGGTGTTAGTACACCGTGGATATAGGTCGCCGTGCTGTTCCCACAGACAGAGGATCCATGTGGTGGTAATTACAGAAGGCACTGGCGACATGAGCTCATGAAACTTCTCAGCCCGATGCTGACAAAGGGGAATAATTACTAAAGTGTGGTTATCCGATAATTCCACAGCCACATAAACCACATCAGCCACTTTTTACGGTGATATTAAACCAACTCAACTCAAAATTTTCAAAATGAATGAATTAAACTGATTCTGCTAGTTCTCTTTCCAGGCTGTTACTCGTGTGTTTCTCCAGCTCACTTCTGCTACAGCTGTTGTTTACGTTCACATTTTTTCATATTTGCCTCAGACATATAAAAAGCAGCCACCTGTCATTAAGTTTCTGATTTCCTATGAGCAATACAAACCTAAAAGGCCGCTCGTTTCTTCTGAAATTATTCCCTCCTACAATTTTCCAGTAATTTGGATTCCCGACTGGTTGGTATTTTCATCACACACGCTGATACATGCTTAACTGCCTTCCGGCATCAAAGTCAGGATTTTAGAAATATAAGAAGGAACAGTAAAAAAAAAAAAAGGGAATATAAGAACTAGTCCATTTAAAGTTTACCATTTACTTTACACTGTCTTCCTTCTGTAATCTCTCCTGACGTCCTCTGTACATATTGATGATTTGAACCAAAATCATTTGAATTAATTCGGAGCTACTAACACTGATTTACAGTTCAAGTACTATACAATTTGGTACATCTCAGCTTTTTCTCCTTGTTTTCCTTTATTTTGAAAACCAGGTTCCCACTGAGACAGTAGATGATCAGTTGAAGGGCCTGATGCATCTCTTGTGTGCTACGTCAGGTCTTTGCAGGCCTTTTGTCCTCCACTTGTCCAGTTTCCTCACTTTTTATGGACACTCTGCACGGCAACCCCTGAGGCTACCAAAGCAAAAACACTGTATTATGCAGTCAGATTTTACAACGTCTGGAGCCATGGAGACAGCAGAAACAAGCCGTAAACTCAGAATTAACATACTTTTTTAACAGTTTTCTATTTTGTACATACAAAAGGCACAGAGCAACATCTATTCAGCATTCATCTGAAGCCTTTCTGAGCAGCAGTTCAGATACAAAAAGAACAAAACTCACGGTCAGAGCTGAAGTCATCTATCAGGATTATTTCTTGAATCAATGATGGCGGACTTCGCATCAGGACACTGAGCGGGAAAAGAAAATAAGATAAGATAAGATAAGCTAAGACTTGATCCCATGGCAGGGAAATTTGTGCTGTGATAGAAGAAGATTAGAGCAAGCACACAAGTTGGTGTCATTTCTCCTGTCTAATTTGGCCACTTGCGTCATTACCTTTTAATGGTGCGAAGAAGAGTAGAGCGGGCCTCGTTGTGAAAAGTTATGACGATACTTGTGGAGGGAAGGTCTGTGTCATAAGTCAGAGCTGCACACCTGCACGCAGGGGTGAGAAGGTCACATGTGGTAACTCATACAAACCTGGACGTCTTGTATTCACGCACACACATGCTGGACACAGTTTCAGACACATGCGATTGGCCGAGCTGCCCCGCAGAGTCGTCTCTGCATTGTTGCTGTAGTGACATAGAAATATCCAGTTGCCCAGCAACATTCACACAGATATCTGACCCTCCGTTTTAATCTGCTACCTGTTGCTGGGCGCATTGAGCCTAGGTTATAAGGTATGAAATTCAAATATCATACACCACAACGAAACAGGAAAATAAAGGCAACAATATACATTCACTAAGGAGTCATTATTACAAGATTAACAATCACTGCACGATTGCAGCGTTTGTTTAATTAGTAAGTCGTACGGGTATGTTCACATATTAGACGTGCTGCCATTTGATATAATTACATATGAGACTTTGATGTAATTTTATGTAATGAAAAAGAAATCAACAGCAGCTTATAATAGGAACAGAAAATTAAACTGGGAAAATATAGCATGCGGAACCATTATCAGAAATAAAATGAAACATCTTTATAAAAATAGTTTGGATGTTCTCAAATGTTACAATCCTCGTGAAAACCCTCTGAGGAAAAAACAGTTTGCACCAATGACTTTCGAAAACATTCATTGGTTTGTACAGTGATGTGCTGTAAAAGCTGTCACAATGTATCATCAAGTCCTATTACCTTCTTGTAGCATGCTGTCAACGTATAAAAATTTAAAACGAGGGCTAAAATACCTTAGCAACCCGTGAGAGTGGTCAGAGACTCACTGGAATATCCATATGTCATATTCAAATATTTAAATTTGGAAGTGTGAAGATTTTCTATTCCACTTATGCTGTGGTTCGCAGTGTTTGTGGGGCAAGAACAGCACTTGGGTTTTATTTAGCACTATTTAGCCATCATGATCAAGACTCCTGTAGGGATTATTCTCAAAGGAAATTCTCTGGCCAGTGATTATTTTTAGTGTTTTTTAAACGTTGAATACAGCAGAATTTCTGAAATCACACGAAGTACGGAGGGCAGAGACAAAAGCTTGAATTTTTTCATAGTTAAAATAGACGTTTTGAGTGAATTTCTCCACTTTAGTAGGATTTTACATGATTTCACAGGTCAAAGCCTCTTAGGCCGGCTGTCCCTTTCAAACAAAGGTTTAAACAGTAGGTGGGTAAAGACTGTCTGCTCACATAGAAAACCAAGAACCTGTTCAACATAAGAAGTGCATTTTTAAAGATATGTATCTAAAATACTGAAAAAATATTTTAAATAATAAGCTAATTGTTGGTAAATAAACAGCTGGCAGTATTATACTATACAGCTCATACTGTTTAGAAGTTATGTTTTCTCCACCAACACTCTAAACAGCAGTTTCATCCAGTGAAACTAGCTTTCACGAGTTTACTGTAATTTAACAGGAGAATCACTTGTTTAATTATATATTATATAATTATACATATGCATGTATAATAACCTTTTACCTGCTTTCAGCCGAGCTCACACTTTGTTTATTGCCTATTGTCCTCTTCTGTTTATGACTCACTTGTGTTGTTTCCTGCAATTTTATGCCTCAGCGTAACAGTGAACAGAACGCGGCTTTAAAAAGGAGCAACCTGCTCTGCATAAATAAAGGTTGAATAAAAAAAGAACTTTCAGTTGGCAGCCATTTAGCTGCATTTTCCAGTTATAGAAGAAGCCCAACAATCACGGATAAGTGGATTTTAGAGCAATCTGGATAAAAAACAAAACTCAAAAGAGGGAAAATATCTTCTGAGAAAAACTAAAGGTTTGTTTTACTTCAACTCAAATTGTATCTTTAAACATGACGCTGCAAACAAAAACTGGAGGAGACATTATGCACACTGAGAAAAAGGTTCCTTAGAGCCGCGAGTTAAAATGCAAACCTGTATGACCTGCTTTTGTAGCAGTGCTTGTAGTGACCACTCCACTTTAAAAAGAAATTCGAAATATTCTAAGTTACTGAGTGCACTAAAACCCAAGGCCTCTAAACTAAGCAAAGAAAATGTGTTGGAAGATTCATTCTTGATCTTTTGATCTTTAACACAGCAGAAGGCAAAAAGTTTCAACACAAGGTCCAATGTCTTCAGCAAAACAATAAATCTGATCTTTCTTTCTTTTCTGCCAAAAAAAGGTTTAAGTTCACGTCATGATCTGAATCACAGCAGTTTACGCTAAACGCTGCACGTCTGACGACGAACTCCCAACATCAAATCAGCTTATTAGCAGATCTTTTGCACAGCTCATACAAGATTAGTCCCCGATCCACTTGTGCTGATCAGAGGAGGCAGACAGTACCTGGACTAACCCCGCTCACCTGTAGTGTCGAGTGTCTCGTATGGCTCGCTCGCTGCCCAGCCGGTCGCTCTCCTGCAGGTTGAAGGCATGGTCCTTGTATGGGTCGTCGCCTGGTTTCAGCTGCTTTGCTGCTAAGTAAGCCTTCTCATCGAAGCTGCCCAGCAGCTGGCCCTGCTGCTCGGCCCGAGGGGGCTGGGTCACCTGCACAAAATGATGAAAGCTGGATTCAAATGCTAAGAAAAACAAGGATTGTTGTGAATTACTGATACTCAAAAGTGTGCACGAGTGTGATTTAAATTATATACACACACAAAACTCTCTTGCTGTCACTCAGGCATACACAGGTGATTTTGACTGTCAACACTCCACTCGCTCAGTGCCTTTTATCAACAATCAGCACCTATAATTCCTGTGAAAGTGACACACAAAGGGAACTGTCTGTCTTAACAAACTCTACAAGACACCTGTCTGCATTTGGGAATAATTTGGGATCCAGTATCCTCCTCAAGATAAGAGAAAAAACAACTCTGACATCTCTGAAGATTAAAAACAGCTCATCTGATATTTGTAAGCCCTTACACTCTGCTAACTAAACATCTCACAATCTTGTTTTTTTAAATGTGACTTTGTAATATCTGTTCAGGGACATCCCCCCAAAAACCCTCTTGGCAATCTCTGGCATATTTCCTGCCATAATTATTAATGTGCAGCATCCCTGCTAAATAAGGCAAAAAATAAATAAATTGCTTTAACTTTTAATCCAATGTGAAGAAAAGTACAAGCCAAGTGATTAAAATGTAAATGCTATTTTCTTATTCAGGTCATCGTGTCAGTGCTAACAGGGCAAAACGGGATGGGCACTCATCAAATCGGAATACATAGTCTATAAATCCTCAGTAATTAATGGTTTTTCCCCGCAAGGAGCTTTAACACTCTCTGGCAGCCTGGGTGAGTGGGAGGTTAAAATAGCTGATGAATACATGAAGGGAGATGAGAGCAGCCCTCATTAGAGATGCAACGGCAAAATGGACAGAGACAGAAAGGCAGCGGTTTTGTACTGCGCCGCTTTATTAAAGGTCGGTGTAAGCAGGGGGATTTAGAGAAAGCTCCTGAAGAGGTTCAGGTAAGACTGACCTCATTTTCAGTCACCCCAGAGGAGCAGTATGACCCCGCAAGCCTCAAGGATTCATGCTCAAATATATCTGCGCTGCACAGCTAGAGAGAAAGCCAGCTGAAGGGCACACTTACTATAGCAGCGAGACCTCTAGTTTTAAGGCTGTAATGTATATTTTTCAACAGTGGACCAGGTGATGATAAAGCTCAAAATCTGACTGTTCAGTTTACCGCCTTTTAGCTCATTGTTTTGGTTTTTATTTGGTGGTTAATGGTGGGAATTCGAGGAGCAGCAGCCTTATTACATCAGCAACATGAAACAAACTAAACAAATTGCATCCAGCAGGTGAAAATAGTCATGCTGACATTATTCAGAATCAATGCTAATGTCACTTAATGCCTAGTGGAGGAATTTGTGCATGTGGGATTAAATTGGGCCAGCTAGCAGCTAGTACATACATTAGCTCATGAACTTGAGCTCTTTAGACTTCTTGGAATTTCTTTAAAAACTACACTAATTTATTTTGACAAGTGCATACAGTGGTGGCAGCATATTTCTGATAGATCAGCACAAAATACGGGTTTATGTTATTGAAATAACAGCAAAATGCTGCCTGAATTTGCAAAGTTTAGACATTACAGCTTACATAATATGTAAAATAGGTCTAAATTCTAGTCTATAAGCTTACTCATTATATTTTATATGATAGTCATTTTTTTATCTTTCAGAGAATTGCTGAGTTATGTTTTTTCTACAAAAGAAAAACAAAAATCAAAAATACGTAAAATACTAAGTCTCATTCTCTTGTATATACCAAATTGAAAGCTGTAATCATGAGCTGAGTACAAAATTTAATGAAATCCACTTCAATCAATTGATCATTAAAGTGATAACCAAGCTGTTTGAACTCACTCTATGCATCAAGTACATTTCACTGATAAGGACATATAATTTTCTATCTTTTTTTACATCTACTTGCTAATTAGATGTAGATAGATTTCTAATAAAATTACTCATCTGTATGCAAAACAGGATTAATCCTAATCCTAATTTCAGAAGCCATTTACAGATGGCAGGAGTATTTGAGGAAAACACCAAACAAAGCCCGGCAGCTTTAGCTTTGAAACAGTAACAGCTTCCAGAGGTGGGACCAAGTCATTGTTTTGCAAGTCTCAAGTAAGTCTCAAGTCTTTATCCTCAAGTCTCAAGTCAAGTCTCAAGTAATGTCAGGCAAGTCAGAGTCGAGTCTCAAGTCACTGGTGTAAAAGTCCAAGTAAAGTCACAAGTCTGAAACTTTGAATTTCAAGTCCTTTCGAGTCTTAAAAAAAAAAAAACACGAAAAAAAGCATGTTGCAGTTATATGCTAAATGTAAATATTAGACCATGTAATTTTTAAATCTGTTTTTCTCAACACATACAAAATAGTGAACTTAGAAAATATACACAAATTGTGAAATTGCACCTCTTTAAAATGCAGCTCAATTAAACCTAGCTCCAAGAATAATTTTCACCGACAGTTCTGAGATAAGCTGCATGTTATTCTTGGATGCGCTTGTAGGACCGGCTTTAAAATCGCATGACAAAATATCATACATAAATAAATGATATTTTTAAAAAATATCATTTAAAAAAAAAAACTGCATCACCAACGTAGCCTGGAAAACATTTGCTAGTTAGATGAAGTCAGCTATCTCATCATAGCATATTTATATGCATATTTATAATCATACGGTTCTTGGAGTGAGTGCATACACTCATGAAGTTTAGTAACTTCCGGTCACTGCAACAAGCCCAGGTACAGTTTACCGACGGATGGGTGCAGGACCTTGAAATGCACCGTGTAGAAAGTAAAGACCATCGTATGTATCATAAGTTTACCAGTCTCACAAATCGTCGTCATAAATACACATTCGTTAACCGTTTATTAATATAACCTTTGAGCTCAACGGTAATTAATTAGCAGTGGAAATAATTTCTGGTAGCATCACAGAAATGTAGCAGTGACAATAATATTGTATGCTGTAATCGCACTGGGCAATTAGTGATACAAAACAACAGTTTTATCCTGTGAATAAAAGTATATGTTTTTGTCAATGTACCATAATAACAGAAGCGAAACACAATATTGTGTCAGGACAATTCACTATTTATGCACAATAAACACAATAAATAAAGGAGCATAGCGCGACAATTTCTGTTCAGCGCCAGACTTGCTTGTAACCTATATCACTAATTATGTTAAGAAAAATGACGCATTAACTACAACAGCAGACTGACCTTTGTGGGAATGCTTGGAGCAGACTAACCTGTGAGCTGGAGGGTTCTGGGACGTTATAATTGGTCTTTGAATGGCTGCAATCCAGTCGCCTCTTTGTTACTTCGGAAACATGGCTCGAACAATTTCTCTTCAACTACGTGATCCGATAACAACCGATCTCTTTACCCGTCGGCTTCCCGTGGCTGTCATGCGACCGGCTATTGCAGTTAATAACACAACAGCTTCTTGACATTTTTGTGTTTCTTTTTATCGCTGTATAACTGATTTTAATTGAAAGCCTGCATGCGCTAGTACCGCTTGCCACGAGTTCCCAGAATCCTTTGCGGTTCTACCCGTGAATGACGTTACATTTTCAATCTCTATATAATATGCGTGTTAAATTTTATATTTGGGGTAAAATATCAAGTCTTTTCAAGTAAACCGGTTCAAGTCCAATTCAAGTCCCAAGTCATTGGTGTAAAAGTCCAAGTCAAGTCACAAGTCTTAGAACATTTTTTCAAGTCAAGTCTAAAGTCATAAAATTAATGACTCGAGTCTGACTCGAGTCCAAGTCATGTGACTCGAATCCACACCTCTGACAGCTTCAACAAATCTAATCTGTTTGGCTCGATCGATTGGCAAACCAGATTAACTGCAGCCAATTACAGAAAAATTTAAATTTAAATTTCTTTGGCTGTTATTGTAACATTTTCTAGCCCTGTAACCTGATGCTTGTTACACAGAGGAATACATGAGAATTTATTTAGCTATTATTTATTTTTACGTATTTGATTGATGTTGAGCAAATTGAAATCAATTTTTCCAGGATGACAAAAACCAAACATAAATCCAATAAAATACCCAACTGAATGACATTTAAACTGAAATTAGATGTGTTTTTCATATAATTTAATCAAGGTTGATTAAGTATACCAGATTCATTTAGATGAAAATATAGAGGTGTGATAATTTATTTATTTATTTATTTATTTAGGATAGTGCATGTTAATGAACATAAATGTAAAAAAAAAAAATTACATGAATGCAAACATACCAGATTATAGCCAAGGGCTCATTTCCATCTGTTGTCCTTAAGAATAAAAAATAGACATAATAATTCATAAAAATTCATCGTTCATTCATAATAAAAAATCCATCACCAAACTTACGCATACACACCATTCTGTTCCCAAATAAAACATTAAAACTATACAACTCATACATGATCACACACTTGATTTGTTTTGAATTATGCTCATTCAGCAGATTCTGGTAAATTTACAATCATTTTAAACAAGAACAGTTCTGGCTTTTTAGAGCTAAGGTACTCTATGTAAAGCAGGCTCTTAAGGCCCAAACTGTTATCATTTGTGAATGTACACAAACTGTCCATTAGCAGTCTCTAAATCATCTCGGAGGGGACACAATCGGGGCTACGGGCCTATATTTATCACTGCTATTAATTTATCTTTTCAGGCTGGAGCCAAGCCTGAGATAACAGAGTCAGGCCATGGACTAGAAAATCTGCAAAACAAGTGGGATAGCTTAATAAGTATATGTTGCATGTGAAATTCATTATTATGTTAAGTTCTTCTACCATAACGTGATATTTTGACTGTTTTTTATCTTCGCGTTGTTCTGATTTCTTTCCAAAATCCCTTGGTTATCTGTAAATATCATCATGACTAAATATTAAAAGCTACAAAAAATGGTACAGAGAGGATATTAAGATATAAATAACAGAAGGCGCTTTGAGGCTCGGTCCACTGAATTAAACATGAGCTTAGTCTGGAAGATGAACACATGTCCGCTCTTTCAGGCTGAGTTAAAAGACTCAACAAGTCACATGCAAGTGCAATCTGCCTGATTGCCCGGAGACGCAGCCCTGCTGTGGCTGTGGTAACAGATGAGTCCACAGAACATCTATGTAGGTGTGTACTAATTTGAATATATTTTATTTCACCCCATGTGTGAAGCACTTTGTGTATTTTTAAAAGTGCTACGTAAATGAAATTATTATTATTACTGTCAAGCTAGTTTTCATCATCAGCAAAACTGGTTCTTTTCTCTAAAGAGTATTTTTGGTCATTTAAAAAAGCAGACTTGCACATTTGGTATACGTTTGGAGACTGACATCTAACAGGGATTCATTTAAAATGAAAAGACACAATGCCAGGGGAAGGTAGTTTCAGGTCGAGCAAGACAGATACGTCCATAAACACTCTGTGAACAACAGCAATGAGCCACCTACATATTAGGCCTAGACCCTGCTCTGCAACTTTACATGGTCTGCCTCCTTTAGTAATAATACCACTTACAGTTGATCTTGGAATATCTAGGAGAAAGAAATTTCACAGTCCGACTTATTATAACAGTGGTTTTGTATGACAGCACCACACTCAGACTCAGTCAGCTCTTTAGAACGAGCCAGTCTTTCACAAATGTTTGTAAAGGCTACGTGCTTAAATTTATATGCCTGTGGCAATGGGACTGAACACACCTGAGTTCAAAGACTAAGAGGTGTGGCCCAACACTTTCATCCATATAGCTAATGTGTATTGATATGCAAATTTTCTTTTCAGAGAAAGATGGGTGGGTAAATTTAGAAATTATATCCCAGTGTAGGTGTCGGCTCATCGAGGATTCTATAAGAACACATGAGTTTGGAATAATTATAGAGCTGTTTCTGCTTTAGTCATTTCATCTTATTTGGGTTAAGTCAGTCAGGAAAGAAATATGCGCTGCATTTCTTTAGGACATACCAGGATCGAACAGGGTTTATACTACAGGCAATCGAATTTAAACAAACCACGCACACTTTGCAGATTAGATGGGTTTTGGAGTTAAAACTCTTGATAAATAAGAAAAAAAAACCATTTTCTTGGAATGCTGCTTATTTTTGCAATGTTTATCCGGGTTTTAAAAGCTTTTGTGTTTGTGTAGTGGAAGTTGCCAAACTACAAAGCATTAGTTGAGCTTTGTACTCTCACAAAGTCTTCAAGTTATGTATGCATCACTGTAATGGAATATGTAGTTAATCCTAGCTCAGACGAGATTGTTAACAGCACAGTTCTCTCATGAAGTGTATGTCAGAAATAATGTTTGACAAAAAAAAAAAGTCTGGGCACCCAGACCAGCAGTCTGAGCCGGTTCCAGGTACTGACAACTTCTTATTATCAAATCATACATTAATAATGTTAGTAACCAAAAAAAAAAAAATTAGTAGGGGGGACACGTGTTGCAAGAAAAAATGACAAAGTAATTGGCTGATGTGGCTCTGCGATGACATGATATGAGGGGAGCTGTGCAGGTTGGCGAGGCTGTCAGTTAGTGTGAACTCTAAAATCAAATTAGACGATGAAAAATGCTCGTGCACTTGGTTACTGTAGCAAAACAAAAGCAATTCTGGGAAACTGGAGGCTCAGTGGGAGAAATGTGGAGGAAAAAAGTGGAGACAGTGCCGACAGCTTTCAAAGATGATGTATTAGTGATTCAAAAGCATTTAATGAACATAAGTGACAAAAAAGAGAGGCCTAAGAGGACGGAAGGAGGAGAGAATGACAAGAAAGAAGGATGGAAAGAAAGAAATTGTTAAGGAGGGAATACATGAAAAAGAAATAGATAGATGGTGGAAAAAAATAGATAACTAATGAAGAAGATAAAATAAAGATACAAAGGAAATAAGGAAAGAATAAAGAATGAGAGGAGAGATTGGGCAATAAAGGGAAAGACAAAGTGAAAAGAAAGGAAGGGAAAAATAAACAATTGGAAAGTCTGTAAGAAAGAAAGAAAGAAAGAAAGCCTTCCTCTGTACCAGCCTGCTCTTGTTGAACCGTGGGACCCTGCTGTGCCGAGCTGGCAGCCTGTGAGCTTCAGGTCAGATTACCAGGACAAACTACAACTAGAAAATCTCAGTTTGGTGATAAAGGTGAACGACCCCGCTGAGCAAATCAAAGATTACAAACAGTAAAGGCTTCACTTTCAAAACTAAAGCATACAGACCAAAGAACAATCTGATTAGAAGTGAGGTCTGTTTATGGTTCAGCAGCAGTTTGCAGTTTATGGCACAAGCTTGTAAACTGTGACGGGGACATGATACACCTCGCTCTCTCCTCTGACTGCAGTCACACTGAGGGTTTTTTAAACTAATTCCATATTTGTTTGTGTGCATTCTCCGATCATCGCCATACTCTTGGCCAGTGCTCACACACTAATGCAAACCACAGCTTCCTCTCTTCTGCTCCAGAGGGCCTGCCTGCATAGATGCCACAACAACCCCACTGCTTGGTATTTGCCCCTGAATTAATAAATCCTGCAAACAACGCTTTAACAATTTGGCTGCTGCTGGAGGGAAACGCTTTGACATGTTGGCACACAACCCCAGCCACATCTGAGGCAATTTTATTGGTCTAGTAAATTGTGAAAGAGGCTCGAGTGTGCAGTATTTCCACATCAGTCCCTGTCTCCTTAAAACTGAACTGGATACACACACTTAAGTGATTTTTATATTTGCTTACTGGGTGGTAGTGGCATAGATATCTGAGGGAAAGTGCTTGGTTATGCCTTTGCCCTAAAAATATTCTATTAAGATTCACTTTTACTTTAAATTTTACACATAATCTCTTATTGTTTAAGCAAAAACCTTTCCACCTTCTGACAAGATTAAAAGGAGCTTTTAGTCATTTATATTGAGTCAATGACCTGTCAGTTATTCCCAGGATACCAGATTATTTTTCTGCACTGCTCTAAAAGCACAAGCTACAGGTCTTGTATCTCTTCACACTAAATGCAATAGAAAGCCTGCAGCCCGACTAGACTGGATATTCTAATCTGAGCTGGCATGTAGCCAGTTCCAGCTCTATACTGTTCAGATCGCGTCTGTAGGCTGTGTTGCAACCTGGTGGCTACTAAAAGTCAAGCCTGACGACCACCACACCTACAGTCTCGGTATTTTTCCTCCTTCCCTCAGGCAACAACAGGCGAATACAGACATGACCTGACTGAAACACGCCCTTTAATGACAGAATGCCAGACCTGGGAGTCCGTGTTTTTCACCTCACATTTGCAATCAGGGAAAGGTCGCAGCATAATGTGGTTTACTAGGCGTTTGTGCACGACGCACGAGACTTACGGAAAGCCTCTTACGGGTACTTGAGGTTCCCTGGCGTCGGGTGTGCAGCTCAGAAAGGCGGGGAAACGCAACAAAATAGGGCTGCACGGCAGGCTGTAGATTGCTCTGCAGGTTGCGTGCACCTGACGAGGTTGAAGTCGGCGCTCAAGCCTGCAGCCTACACGTCCAGTCAAACTGTGACACTTACAGCTGTGCAGCACCACCTCCACCTCCATCCTCATCATCCGTGGGTTCGCGCACACACATGCACATCAACATGCAGCACACACTCTCCTGCAGCTCGGCGCCTTCAGCAACAGCGCCGCTCTCATCCCCCCTTTCCTCTTTATCCCTCACAGCCGTGCTCACTCACTATCAGCGGGATGGTCCTGTCATCCCGGTGAATCTCCAGTCGACCGGGGATCACCTTCTGCCCGTGGCCCCTGCCGCGAGTCTGCGAAGCCGATGACGACGGCGACGACTGGGGCTTGTTGTCCTGCCACAGGTAATAAAACGTCCCTAAGATCCATGCAACGGTCAGAATCGCGATGGCGTTGGCCCGTATCCTTCGCATGGTGAGCCCATACGGAGGGCTCCGCAGCCTGGCTGGTTCAGGTCCGTGCGCCGTGGAAGGTACAGCCTCCCACGCCGGTGATGGGTCGAACCGCAGCGCAGACAGACAGCCTCTCTGTCTCTGCGCGTACAGCCGCTTCTACCAGAGCGATGCCTCTCTGCTGGGATTTGCGCACTGACAGAGCCACGGTCCTAGCGCCGAGTCATATCATCTCCCCACTCTCAAACACTCGCGCGCTCACGCACGCTCACGCGTTATCCATCCGCTGGCTGTGATGAGGAGAGCGCGTCCAATCTACGACGAGCAGCTGACACGCAAGCTTGGGTGCAGATCATTGGGGGAAACAAAGGAAAGACTCAGATGAGAGATCTTCACTTCTGGCTCTTTCAAGCTTTAATTCGCGGTGATCTTTTAGTTTTTACTCCCTTTGCGCGTCACTGAAGCAATGCTGGTTGGTTTTACCTACATGAACATCACTTCTTTCCCTTTAAACCAAAAGCAGCTCCCCTTGTTTGTAGAATAGCCAAAGCATTAAGGGTGTAGGGTAGCTAAGTCGACCTCCACCCAATGCTTTAGAACGGCATTTGGAACAGATTTGAGGAGCTGTGTCTTTGTACTTCGAGTTTCCGAAGGTAGTTTTTAGAGGCAAATATTTTACTTTTAGTCTTTAAAGTTGATTCGTTTAAATAACACGAGGCATTTTTGGAGGTTCAGCATCCTGAAGAAGAAAATCAGAGGTGAAATAGAAAATGTTGGGCTGTAACTAAATGTGTTTATGAGTCTTTATTACAATACAAAAATAATTAATAGGGGAAAAATGCTCATCACATTCACAGAAATGTTTGGATGTCTTTTTCTTATTCTGTTTGTAGTATTATAAAAACGAAGAAAAACAGCAAGTTTCGTTCTATAAAAAAACTACAAATGAGCAATTCATTTGCATTATTTAATTCATCTACCAATCAATAAACCGATTTTTAAAGCTGTGGTAAGTTGGGTTTTAAGAGGAAAATCAATAATAACCTTTCAGCTTATTATAATTTAGCAGTCTGGGAGAGAACTGGGCTGCTTTACCTCAGTGGGCTTTCAGGCTTTTATGACAGGAGACTTTGGCCAATCAGTGCTCTTTTAAAATCTCCCATTCAGACATTTTCAGGATAAAACAAAACTCTTATTATAACAAAGTGGGGTTGAGCAATAGTTAAGTAGTGGGTTTTCATCTGGTCCCCTTTACTTGCTATTTTTCAGCAGATGAGAAGCACATGCAAATGACCATCTGGTGGGCATTGCTTAGAACAAAGATGGGAGAGCTGTAGGAGAAGCCGCAGTCGTGTTTTTGTCTTTTTTCCACATCTCCGTCTCCACGTCACTTTGCATCACTTCAGTCCAATCCAGGTTTATTTATACAGGGCCAATTCCCAACAACAGTCACCTGAAAGTGATTTATACTATAAAGACCCTACTGTATTTGAGGAACATCCCTGCACTTAAACAATCCTCTGTGAGCCAACACTTTGCGACGACGGGAAGGAAAAAAATCTCTTTTAACAGGAGGCATGCTGCTATATAAACACAGCGACTGAAAAGTGCTCAGTGTGTCATATGACATCCTGCAGCAGCCTGAACCTATGACATCATAATTAACTGATTGTTCAGGGTCACTTAATCCTGGTTTAAGCTTTATCAAAAAGGAAAGTTTTGAGTCCAATCTTAAACATATCTCTATTTAGCTGTGTATGTGTGATTGCACTGTCTCTTATGGGTCCAACACTCATGACAAATGGCAACTTATTGATCAAGCATGGTGTCCAACCATGCAGATAATTAGGTTTTGTCCCTGCAATTTATAATGGAGGTCAGTGTAGTTTAATCTGTGGTGTGCAAAGCATGAAAAAAAACGTCACCTTCTTCTATTCCAGCAACAGTGGTTCTCTTATTTCTTAATTTGCAAATGTAATTGGATTAGTTTCTTATGCACAGAGATATGAATCAAAACTGAAATGAAATGCTGGCCAAATAAAACCAGAACCGAACCAGCTACACATAATGAGAAAAAATTCATTCACTTAAATATATTGACCCTTTTAATTTCTTCAGTACAACATCTGCTTCATGCTGAATCTAAATAAAACCTGCTGCAACATTTTTCCTCATTGCACAGGTAGGCTCATTAGTCTACCTATGCATTTTAAATAACGCTTCTAAATTTGGAGCCTCCAGCTCTCGCCGAGTAAATTAAGCAATGCAGCTAAACCGATCACGAAGACAAAGGAAGACTTTGTAGCAGCATGAATATTTAACTCTTGGTTTGCACAGATGACCTTTGCAACTATGACATATGTGTGCGAATAAATCAGAGGCGTACGAAAAAGTCAGAATACATTAGCCTGAGAGGACCCCTCTCCAAAATCCGTAACAACCTTTAAACGGCCTCAGACACCAGCGAAGAAATCAGAGCAGCGCTATAACACCCCAGAGGCATAACAGAGCTGTGGAGGCTGAAATTTCTCATCTTATTCCCTCTCTGCTACAAGAAACAGAAAAAACAGCCCACAATATGAGCTCATCCAGCCCCACCTAACAGAAAATGCTATGTGTACGACGTCCTCACAAAGCTAGGCCCACCGCTACAACATTGGGAATCAGGAATGCCGAGTTTTCCTTGACAGAAGAAGATAAAGAAATGTGATCCAGCAACGGTGGAGGGAAGGCAACGAGGAGCAAAATGAAATCAATAACTGGAACACAAACCCGTCTGCGGCTGTGCACTGTTATGTTTTTAATTGCTGATGCATTCAAGCAATTATTTTGTGATGAAGCACGCTCAGAAATGCCAACAGGCTTACTTTTCTCTGTTATTTCTGGTGTTTAATAGAACCACTTTCTAATGAGTTTATAACTCCTGTGGCTTTAAATTTCTAAAAAGCTAATTACATGCTTTTTGCATCAGTTATAAGCGTGGGTGAGAGCTTGTAAAAAAAAAAAAAGAACTCCCTTTACCACTATGGTGTATGGTCATTCCACGAGGAACACAGACAGTTGGTTGCACTAATTAACATAAGGTATCTTTGGACCGTGGGTGGATGCCAGAATACCAGGGCAGCCACAGGGAAAGCTTGCAAACACCAAACAGAAAGGCCTCAGTCGGGAGGTGGAATCAAACCCAGAACTTTTTTCCTGTGAGGCTGAATCAAATTATTAAGTATTTATCAATAGATCATCATATACAAATGCACAATCATGAAAGGATAAATGCTAAACAAAGGATTTGCAACCTGGCAACCCAAACCTGATTGTTATTGAAGAGAAAGCATGCAAGGTCAAATTAAAGTTGACGTATCATAACAAAATAACAGCAGGTCACTGAGTAATCCCATAAAGCTACTTTTGGCTGCTCCCTTATTCACAAGGGGTCACCACAGTGGGCAGCTCCGCATGTCTGGTTTTCACGCCGGATGCCCTTCCTGATGCAACCCTGAAGGGATTTGTGTCTCTCCCAGGATCACCCCGGGGATCTTTTGGTTGTAAACATGCCAACCGCTACACTACGAAGCCAGTTACAGCATACAGTAAAAGACTGGCAGCAGCCTCAACCAGTAGCCATCATAGGCCCCTTATTTTCTTCCGAGTGTCTTTTTCATTATTTATTCCCTCTCTTCCATCCCTTCACCGAGAGACCCATCAGGCAGCGAGCTCTGCCCTCCATCCAGGCTGAGTATATAGAAAGGGAAGGTCACAGGGGTCAGAGCCACATCTGGCTCAAGGCTGGGAGATATTTGTCTTCATTCGTACAGACAGGGCTGCGCCTCTCGCGGCTCTGCTGTCACAGTTATCTTTGGGAAAGACAGTGACACCCCAAAGCAGGGAGGGAAAAGTCTCTACACATTGAGACAAGGAGAGGATAAAAGAAGATGAACACACACAGCAGCCATGGTGAGGTGTTGGTACTGCCAGCTTAGCTGGGAACACCGCACACTCTAACGTCTCATGGAATTTTCTTCTTACATGGGGCCTGGCAATCAAGCTCTTAACAGGCCTTTTAAAGGTGCAGACAGGGAACCCTGGTTGCATGGGGGGCTGACAGCAGAGCAAACCTACTGCTAAAGTCAATATTGTCTCTCCTGAGATGTGTGGAAAGACAAAGCTCCACATTCCCACAACACAATCAAGCCTGCAAGGACTCTGCTGTTTCCTAAAATCTCTACTAGCTGGAAGGTTTCCATACCGATTATGACCTCTGACCTCTTTGTCCTTGAGGAGGTTTAACAGAGTATTGCATGATGGTTGTCACACAAAACATATTTTGCATCACACTTTGCAGTGTGTTCTGTATGTTTGTTTATTGCAAACACAGCTACAGACAGTCACCAGCAATTTTAGTTCCGGTGAGAATCACTGTCGGCATTTCACACAACTTTGCCAGACACCCCCCCCCCCCCCTCCAAAAAAAAAAAACCCCCAAAAAAACAAGCCTCTATGGAATTCCTCTATAATAATAGTGGAAACTCAGCCCACTCGACTGCCTCTCGGCTGTATCCGGTGATCATCGAGCTCTAAGAAATACAAGTTTAATCTTGCGTGTGTGTGTCTGTGCATTGTGTATATATTATGCAAATACAAAGTGTCAGAACACAAAGACAAAGCAGGAATTTATGCGAGCATCTGTCCTGATGCATATGGAGCAGGGTTTCAGCTTCTGGTGCTTCACTGAAGGCCAGATGGGACTTTACCGAGTCTGCTCTGTATAACTGGAGTATTTTTACATCAGGCCACGTAAAATGCATCTTTTAAGCATAACTCAGGGTGGCAGGTCTTGTTTAGCACTTTCACCTCAGACCAAGAGGGTGACTGGTTTGCTCCTGATGGCCTGGTGGAACTTCTTGTGTGGATATTGTCGACTCTCGGTTCTCTGTTTCCTCTCCAAGTCCAAAGACATATATGTTAGGTTACTCTGTGACTCTAAATTGTCTATAGTGAGCGTAAAGTAACTGGCAAACTGTCTAGGGTGCACCTTACCTCTCACCCTATGACAGCTGGGATAGCTCCAGCACCCTTACAAGCATGGAAATGTTAAGCAATTTAAAAAAAAAATAGAAGGGTAGTATAAGAAGCACTCCTTTTAGGCTTTAGAGGAGTATCTAAAACTGAAATATTGCAGACTTAACTGTGCATTCAGCAAAGTCTTCAAACATCCATAGAAACTTCCGAGACCTCTGAGCGCACACC